TTGGACAAGATAATACAAGATGAAGAATATCTACCAGAGCATATTTTGAACGTGGATGAATCAGGCTTGTTGTAGAGATGGATGCCAGAATGGACCTATATTCACAAAGAGACGAAGTCGATGCTTGGTTTCAAGGCATTTAAAGACAGAATCATGCTGCTGCTTGGAGGAAATGCTGCTGGATTTATTTATTTTTATTAAAAAAATTTAAAAAATTTTGTTGAGAATATACACAGCAAAACGTACACCAATTCAACAGTTTCTGCATGTACCATTTAGTCACACTGATTACATGCTTCAAGTTGTGCAACCAGTCTCACCCTCTATTTCTGAGTTGTCCTCCCCCATCAAAATAAATTCACTGCCCCATAAAGTTCCTATGTAATCATTCAAGTTTGCTGTTGTCAGTTTGATCCCATATAGATAGTTCTTAAAAGAGCATAGTGTTCAAGGCAGACATTTTTTACTATTTAAGCTAAACTATTGTTTGGTTTTAAGAAGACTTCAGGGAATATTTCTGGTTTAAAGTTTAAAGATTATCTCAGGACAATAGTTTCAGGGGTTCATCCAACCTTCGTGGCTCCAGGAAGTCTGGAGCTGATGAGAATTTGACATCCTATTCTGCATTTTACCCCTTTTGATCAGGATTCTTGTAAGACTCTTTCATCAGAATGTTCAGTAATGATAGCTGGGCACCATCCAGTTCTTCTGGTCTTATGGCAGAGGAGGCAGTTGTTCATGGAGGCAATTAGCCACACATTCCATTTCCTCCTATTCCTGACTCTCCTTCCTTTGTTGCTACAAGTGAACAGAGACCAATTGTTGTGCCTTGGATGGCTGCTTGCAAGCTTTTAAGACCCCAGGCAGAATGCATCGAGCTAGGAGATAGAAAAGAAGCACTAAACATGTTATTAAGCCACTTAACTGGGATGTCCCATGTGACCATGACCCTAAACCTCCAAACCAAGAAACCAAATCCCATGAAGTTTTTGTTTGCACATAAGCAGCCTCAGCAGTTACTCTTTTTTTTTTTTTGTCATTGTAAGTATGTTTGTCACACAACTTTTGCCATTTCCTTTTTTTACAGATATACAGCTTATTGATAGCATTTAACACTAATTGGCTATGCAACCCTACCCTTAAGATCAATGTGATTTTTCCATCACCATTAACCTCCCTTTTCCCCTCCCTCCTGCCCCTGGTAAATGCTAATAAACTTTGTTCTCTATACATTTGTCTTCTCTTTTAAGTGAGGTCATACAATATTTGTCCTTTTGTGATTAACTTATTTCACTCAGCATACTATCTTCCAGCCCCATCCATGTTGTAGCATGTATCAAGACTTCATTTCTCCTGCTGGCTGAGTAGTATTCCATTGTATATATGTATCACATTTTGTTTATCTATTTGTTGATGGGCATTTAGGTTGTTTTCCCCTTTTGGCTGTTGTGAATAGTGTTGTAAGGAACATTGGTGTACGAGTCTCTGTTTGAGTCTCTGCTTTCAAGTCTTTGGGCTATATACCTAGGAGTGGAATTGCTGGGTCATATGGTATTTATATTTTTGGTTTTTTAGAGGAACTGCCACACTGTTTTCCATAATAGTTGTACCATCATTTTGCATTCCCACCAGCAATGGGTAAGGATTCCAGTTTCTCCACATCCTTACCAGCATTTGTTATTTTCTATTTTTTAAAATTCTTAGCCATTTTAATGGGAGTGAAATGGAATCTCATTGTGATTTGATTTGCATCTGTAATGGCTAATGACGCTGAGCATGTTTTCATGTGTTTGTTACTTTTGAATGTCCTCTTTGGTGAAATGTCTACTCCAGTACTTTGGTCATTTTATGATTGAATTATTTATCTATTAAGTTGTCAAGGTTATATATATATTATAGTTACTAGATTCTTGTTGAATATATGGTTTCCGAAGATACTCTTCCAGTTGCTAGCTTTTCATTTTTTTTTTTTGTAAAGTCTTTTGATTAACAAAAATTTTTAATTTTTGGCTGCTGAATTTAAATTAAAACCTTTTCTTGTTTGCCATCTAAAAACCCCCAAGCATTAAAAAACATTGATAAAAATAAGCTGCTGGTCTAGAACAGGAGTTACTCCCAGAGCTGGATGATGATTGTGTTATTTGAAGATTGATTTTTTAAAATTGTTTCATCCCAGAAGTGCACGCCTATTGCCTTGAAAAAAGAATTTCTTTCAAGATCATGCTGCTACTTGATAAAGCCCCAATTCGACAACCGTGATTCAGCCTCTGGATCAAGATGCATTTGCCACCTTCAAGGCATACTACCTGCAGGCTACATTTGCTCAGGGAATAGCTGCAACAGATGGAGATATGGTAACTTTATGTGCTTTCTGGAAAAAGTTTAATATATAGTGTATCTGGAATATTTCATCTTGGGAGGAAGTTTTGGAAAAATACCTGCAAGGGATATGGAAAAAATTGCTGAGTTATGTGAACACCCTCCAAGTATTTGATCAGGATAATATGATGGAAGAGATTGGTGGAAAAAAAATCATTCATGTGGCAAGAATACTGAATTTAGAACTTGATTACCACCAAAGTGGAACAGCTAGGTCATGTATCACGAAGAAGCAGAATTGACAGATCAGGACGGAATGGATTTTGAAGAGGAAAGAAATGGTGAAGAAGAAAGAAATAATGAGGAAGAGGAAGGAGAGAAGTTGTTAAAAAAATTTCAGTGAAAGGATTAGCTGAAGTTTTTTTTCTAAAGTAAATTAGGGGCTTTGGTTTCTTGAAAATACAGACCCCAAACACTGATCGTTTTGCTAAAGTCAGTGGGCAGATTCGGGAAGCAGTGAGATGTTACTGTAAAATGTATGAAGGAGGAAAAAAAAGAAAAGGACCATACAGACAACTCTCACTAATTTTCTGACTAGAAATGCCATCCCCATTCCCAGGGATAATCCAGATGATCCAGAACCTTCCACAAGTGGAATTATTGTTGCAACTGACAAAATGCCAATGTTGTCTAACTTTTCTTCATCACCAGAGTAAATTTTTATGATTTTTGTATTTTTTATGTATGTATAAAAATTTACCTGTAAGCTTGTATGTTATGTTTCCAACCCACAAGGACAAATGAAGATCAGATTTATAAAGATACTGGTGGCACAGTGGTTAAGCGTTCAGCTGCTAACTAAAAGGTTGCGAGTTTGAATCCAACAGCCGCTCCTTGGAAACCCTATGGGGCAGTTCTAATCTGTCCTGTAGGGTCGCTGTGAGTCAGAATCTACTTGACGACAACAGCTTTGTTTTTTTAATAATGAAAACTTAACCAAAAATGAGGTATTTTACTTATGCAGAACTGACTTACGACAGAGTTGTTGCATCAGAACCCCATCATGACTATCTGCATGTTGTTGTTAGCTGTTGACCAGTTGGCCCTTGATTCATGGTGACCTTGTGAACAATGGGGCTGCTATGTCTTGTGCCATCCACATGATTGGTTGTAGACCAGACTGTTAAGATCCACAGGGTTTTTATTGGCTGATTTTCGGAAGTAGATCACCAGGCCTTTCTTCCCAGTCCATCATAGTCTGGAAGCTCTGCTGAAACCTGTTCAGCATCAATAGCAACATGCTAGTTACCACTGACAGATGAGTGGTGGCTCTGCATGAGGTGCATTGGCTGGGAGTTGAACCCATGTCTCTCCCATGAAAGGTGAGAATTCTGCCATTGAACCACCACTGCCCCCAAGTTATCTGTTCATAGTTGACATAAAAAAAAATTCGGGTTCATAGTTTCTTTTTAAATACTTCAAGGCAACATAAAATGTAACTAAAGCAATATTAAAAATATATGCACACAATTTATTCAGCAGTAGCAAATTGGAATTCCTTAGGACTGTACTCATGCTGCCAGGGAATCATACAATAAAAATCAACTGTATCCAAAAAGAATGATAAAAATGGTAGATTTTTATAGGGCCTGTAGGTAAGATAAAGAATTCGAGTAAAATAAAAGAACAACAGTGAAAAGAAGGATGAGCGTTAATATGTGAATTCTAGCATTTGCTGTGTTTTTTCTTCCTAACTATAATTAGCAAAGCTTTTATAAATGTTTTCTACTTTAACAGTTTGATTGCTGGGGTTGAGGATTATGCAGGTTAAAGTGGATGTTTAGGTAAATCTGGGAAGGTAAGTCATAGTACTATACTTTGTAGAATGTTGAGGACTGGTCTTTATCATCAAACCAGTGGGCAGTCATTAAGGTGTTTAAAAAGCAGAGAACTCATTTTTCTCACTCATTCTGTTAATACGGTGAATTACATTGATTTCAAGTCTTCATCTAATAATTCTAACACTTGGGTCATCTTGGAATTGCCTTTTCCCTTGAGAATGGGTTACCTTTTCTGGTTCATCTGTGTGGACTGTTTTTGCTTTGTATGAATATGCTAGTTAATCTGTTCTTCTGTTGATGGACATTTGTTTCTAGTTTTTGGCCATTATGAATGCTGTTGTGAACATACATGTGCACACTTTTGTGTGGACATGTGTTTTTACTTCTCTTGAGTAAATATCTGGGAGTAGAATTGCTGGGTCATATGTTAAGTGAATGTTTAACTGTTTTCCAAAGTGGCTGCATCATTTTGCACTCCAACTGGGAATGCATGAGAGTTCCTCACTGTACTTTTAATTTGCATTTAGTTTATCCCGTGGAGTTGAGTATCTTTTCATTTAATAGCCATTTCTGTTTCTTTTTCTGAATGGTTACTGTTCTTTGCCTTTCCTTCCTCCCTTCCCTCCTTTCTTCCCTCTCTCCCCCACTTTTTCCCTTCTTTCTTGTCAACTTTTAGGTATCGTTTGTGTGTTAAGGAGATTAACTTTATCTCTGAGTACAAATAATTTTTCTCTGTTAATGAATTTTCTTTTGACTACTTTTGGTGTGTTTTTGTAAAGAAGTTTTTAATTTTCACAGTTAAAGTATCAATCTTTTTTTTTTTTTTTTAATAGTGTTTGGATTTTAAGTTAGAGAGAAAGACTGTCCCACTGGAAGGTTATAAAGGAATTATCTCAGATTTTCTTTTAAAAGTCATGGTTTGATTTTTTTTCTCTTTTAATCTTGATACATTTAGATTTATCCTGCTGGAAGGTGTGCGATTTATACCCAATTTCATTTTTTTTCCAGGTTCCAAGTTTTGATTAAAACTGAAAAGAAATAAGGTTCACAAGAAAGAAACATTAAGTATCTTTAATTAGGCAATACATTGACAAATATCTCAAATTTGGATAGTGTACGTTAACAGTTCTTCTCTGCTGTAGCCTAAATATGTTATTTTCTTGGAGAAATGATCATACGAAGCAATGGTGCTAAGTAATCTAACCACTTTTATATAAAACACCTGTTTTATGCAGAAAAATATTTAACTGACGTGTTTGCAAGTATTGTCTCAGTTCCAGGTTGAACTCTTGAAGATAGTTACAAGGCTGGATGATTAATAGCTAAAGCCAAAAATACTTTTGTGGTGGAAGAATCACTTGTTTTTACCAATCTGCATTTTTTTTGAGCCCCATCAAGCAAAATAAATAGAGAAGGGGCCACTTTTGGATGTTATTATTAATGAATATCAAATGACATCAAGATAACATTAATCCAGAAGGTTATTAAAATATGAAGTTTTTTTTATTGTGGGTTGAATCTGTGGATGTTAGTAACTGAGCTCAGTTAATAGCACTAAATAGAATCCATAAAGAAAAATGCTTACAAGAACATTAATTGCAAAGATGTACCAAGGCCTGGCGATCTGCTACCAGAAGGTCACAGCATTCAAAACCCTATGGAGCAGTTCTCCTCTGCACACGTGGGGTCGCACTGAGTCAGAGTCAGCTCAACGACAGCTAACAACAATCATCACCAACAACACAAACTACCGGAATTGAAAAATTCAAAATGGTAAATGAATACTTAAATGATATTTGGAAACATGAGGTATAAGTTTCTGTACTGATGGTGATATGACCTTGAAAGGCTTTACATCAAGAATTCATTCTTGTTTCTAGATTCAAGATTCTAAATTCACTTCAGAGAAGCTTACAAATATGAAAATTTTCTCCAAGTCTGAATTCTACACTAAATGATGTATCTGAATGGTAAATTTAGGAAAAATCCAAGCCATCTAACCCCATTTCAAAAACTTAATGAGAAGAAATGGGATCATAGTGTCTATTGGTTGTCCAAAGGCAGAGTTTTTGCTACAGGTTATTTATTTAGAAAGGCTGTGTGTGTGTGGATGTGTGTGTGTGTATATGAACGGAATGCTTTTTTATTGTATACTCTGACAGGTATTGCCTTCATAAATTGCTTATATAAATCATTTTTTTGAGCACCAAAAGGAACTTAATGGAAAATTGTAAGGGCTGTGGAAAAATAAAGTGTATTAACAGTATTTATGGATACAAAGAAAAAAAATCACTTTGGAAAAGTAAGGTTAAAAATGGTTCACTGTGATGTTTGGTCAATATTAGGTTTAATTCTAAATGTTTTTATATCTAGGAGAGCTACAAGCACATATGCTTAGAGAAATATTTGATATGAAAAAGTTTTATTTGAAATTCATTTGCATTATTACAGAAAATTTGAACTTTTTTATGTCAGTGTGAAAGAAGAGCTCTTAGTTTAAACAGTGATCACATTCTTAAATTATAATTTAAAGAGTTCAGGTTGTCAAATTCTGATTGCGAGAAAGGAATTTCCTTTAGTCAGAGTAGAAGTGATAGAGACTCTTCTGCCATCTGTACAAAGTTTCTTCTCTATGGTGACTATCAAGAGCATTTAAGGCTGAGATTTTTATAGTTCTGATTTTTTTATTCTTGTTATGTACTTCCTATATGTTTATTCTCTAAACTTTGACTCTTGTGATTTTGTTGTTTGAGCATTATTAAAACTCTACATTTTTAAAGTTTACTGGTAGTATAAAGAGGGTGTTTTTAAACAGTGAAATTCTTATTTTTGTTAATCTAGTACTTTTTTTTCTCTCTACTAGAGAAAATGTGACTTTTGACACTTGAGCCTAACTCAGCAAGTTTCTTCCAGATTTCAGGATACAACTTTCTGTATTTTCTGGAATGTAGTCTGCACCACAAAATTTTTCTTTGAGCCAGGAACGAAATTAATTTTTAGAGTCTAAGCAACTTTTAAAGTTAAGTAAACTGGAACATTTTCCCCATACTTCTTAAAAATTATTGAAAATATTATTCTCAAGGTAGTTATCAAATACCATAATTTAGTGGTTTGTATAACTATACTGCATCAGTCTTTAAAAGATTTTGTTCTTTTGAGATATTATTTAAGTTTTAAACTGAAGACTAGAATATTAGTGACTGTATTTGTCTGTTGTCCTCCCAAAATTTAAATAATTATTTTGCTATGGCAACTATAAAGACAGTAGAAATGATTAAGTTATGGTACATTCATGGACTCTAAAACTATATGGAGCCATTTTTGTATTTCAGGGAAGAGGCTTTTTGTTTTGATTATATATTGACAGTGTACAACAATTTTATTAAGTTTATTAGGTCCTCTTTTGGTGTCTGTTTTGAAAGTAATTCATTGCTGAATATGCTCAACCTAGGGAATTTGATTTTGGCCAGGAATGGAGTGTTGATCAATCTGAGTGATTAATGAGCTGGTTAAATATAGATTTCTTAAGAGAGTTTCTACTGTAATATGATCTCTCCTTTAACTGTTTTATGGTATATTAGGGAGATGGCGTTTACCCACATGAAAATAACAATATAGGCTTGTATATATTTCCAGATAGCTTATTGAACGTAATGATGACTGATAGTTAAAATGATCAGGAAAGACTTCATGGAGGAGTCTTAAATTGTGATGAGAGCTTTTCTGAAGTGGCATAGTGTAAGCACTGATAGTATGTGAGGGGGAAATGTGCCTTGAGCTGGGTTCATGAAGCAGGTGATGAGAGACAATTAAAAAGTTAGATTTAGTAAATTTGTACTTAATCCTGTAGGTAACAGAACATCATTTGAAGGTTCTTGAGTTAAAACTACTTTTAGGGAGTCTATTCTCTTTTGTAGGGGTCTTAGAGGTGGCAAATGATTGGAACCAAGGTATGGTTGGGTATGACTCCTTGAACTGCTGTGGTAACAAGTGGGAATAAAAGTGGAGGGATTAATATGAAGGATCATATGAAGGAATAATTTGGTATTAATCCTTCCACCAAGTGATGGCCAGAAAGTAGGGTTTATGATTCAGTTTTAGACTGTCTCATTTGAAACTAGTCTTTATTTTGGCATGGTATAGTTAGTTCCATTTGTCCACTGGGGAGTGAAGTATACTGTAGGTCCCAGTTCTTCTCAGTGCCATAGCCTGTACTTTCTTCGTTACTGTTTTAAACTGATAGTACACTCTCTTATTTCAGCTAGGTTACAGTTAATATCAGTGAGTTCAGTGGGACCAGATTATTCACTCTAGTTGATGGTGGTTTTGTGTGTTTGAGTAATTAGTTCTAGTTTTTACGTCTTCAGAAGAGGTCGAGATGTTCCATCATGCTGGCCTCTATATATTACTGGATTTTTTTTTTTTCTTCCTTCATACTTGAAGGCTTTACATGAATAAGAGACTCTGGGTTGGAAGAATAGAAAGATATTTGGCAGTGGAAGGGTGATAAAAATTTATCAGATACAAGCTACAATCTGAGAATCTTCTACAGAGGATTGGTTTATGTGTCAAGGGATAATTTGTATCTAATAACTACAAGCATTTTAAACTTCCAGTGTTTAGGTATGTGCATGGACTTTATCTTATTATGGGGGGAATGGAAAATTTGGAGGGAATGAATATAAAGAGTAATTGAAGTTTACATTTATTGAGTGTGTACTATGTGCCAATACTGTGCTAACTGCTTTACTTGTTATTTAACACTATGAACAATTTTGAACTATTTTTTAATTTCAATTTTTATTTTATACATGACGGAATCAAGGATTAGGAATGACTGTTAAATAATGCTTGTACTTACAAAGGCAAGAACAACTATCTGGGGGAAGTTACGAAAGTTTTCATATAGAAGTAGTGATACTTAACCTGAATTTTGAAGATTTTATAAGAGTTTCGCAGTTGCATTCAAGGGTAGAACGAGAGCATCTCACATGTTAGGAACAGTGTTAATAGTGGCTCCGTGGCGTGAAATGAAATGAGTTTTTATGGTTAGAGAGTCTGGTGTGGTGGTAAGGCAGGTGGTAGAGGGAGGTTTGTGAGGGGCTAAATATTAAAGGGCCCCTATTATTATTATTATTGTTTTTCATTAAAGGGTTTTTGAGTGCCTTGCAAAGACATTTGAATTTTTTTTTTTTCTTTCTTAAAACATGGACAGTGGGGAACCATTGACGGGATTCCATCAGTAGAGCAGTATCACATTTTGAACAGTTTATATTTTCCCCTTATTTTTAGTGATTTAAACCCTTTGGCACTCTCAGTTCTTGAATTTAGTTAGTTTTGGGGCTAAAACATAACCAAAAGAGAGATTTTTATTTTCCTTTTAAGTAGAAAAAATTCATGCAGATATTACTAGAATCCAAGAATATCCCAGCAATTTACCTTCCTTCTGTTTAGCAGTGGATCTGAATATGGAATAATATAAAATATTGTTACTTTCTCTTTATAGCCTGCTTATATTTAATAGCTTTTCCCATGTAGCCAAAAAATGTCCAGCTCTCCTCTAAGTATCCCCCAACATGCTGTATGTAAAATCTTAGGTTTTATAGTTTCTAATCATGGTCATCATAATTTTGTTATTGTAAGATTATAGCCTGAAATCTACTGTGGAAAAATATTAAAAAATTATATTTATTTTTGAATAGTAAAGCATTCAAATGGTATGAAATGATGTACCATAAAAAATCTCCCTCTCATCCCTGTCCATCACCTGCCTAGTCCCCTTCCCTGGAGGCAATCCAAATTGCCTATTTCTTGTTTACCCTTCCAGAGCTATCTTGTGCCTGTGCAATCAGATATATTTTATGTTCTTACCCTTCTTCTTTTTATTTATAGTATTGTATCTTGCTTTGTGCTGTTAACAGTACATTATAGATATTGTTCCATATCAGTACACCAGTCTTCTTTATAGCTGCATACTATTCCATAGTATGAATTTAGCATAGTTTATTGAACTAATTTTAGTTTCTCTTTTAGTGGACATTTAGGTATTTCCATTCTTTTGCTGTTAAAAAGCAAGATTGTAACCAGTGACATTGTATGTGTGTTATTACGCACATGTATGAATATCCCTGACATAATTTCAAAAGTGGAGATGTTTAAATGTACTGAAACTGTAGAATTTTGTATATTACTTATTCAACAGAATCTCACTTCAGAACAGTCTTAGAATGGAAGTCTAGGAGTTAAATTTGTAATTGCTATTAGTAATATTAAAATCTTTATAAATTTTTGTTTTGTTTTGTTTTGCAGGTATACAAAACTAGGATATGCTGGAAATACAGAACCACAGTTCATCATCCCTTCCTGTAAGTACTTTTTAAACCACAAATGAGCTGATTTAAAGATCTTTTTTCCTAATAATTAAGGTAAGAAAGGTACTCATACCTGACACTGTAAGATTAAGTTCTTTAAAAAACATGGTTTGCCAAGTTCTAAGTGTAGCCCCATTCCCAAACCCCTGACCATTCATCTCAGCTCCCTGTTTAATAAATCTTCCAATTATCTCTTTTTAAAGAAAAAAACGAGTGAACTGATAATTAAAAATTTTATGCTTTGAGGTTATTGCTGTTGACAGTGTATGGCTGTAACTAATTGAGGTAGTCTATCTCCCCTCACATACCTACAAAGACTGTCTTTTGGTTTGTGGACATGATTATTGTTTGCAGGGCCAGTGCTTGTTGGCATCCCTGATGAGTGCCCGTGTTCTAAAATTAGGATGGCAGCTCACCTTTACAGATGTTGACCTCAGCTGTTTTCTAATATCCTGTAACTATACTGTTCTGGTACATTATATCTTAAGAATGCTTTTGTTCTATCCTATTTTTGTTAACCTCACTTTAGCTGACCGTCAGCTATCTTTCAGTAGTTTTAAAAAAATACTATCCAATTGCGTTTGTTAGCATACTGTATTTTTATGCAAAGAACGGGCGCCTTCTATGTTTGTTTGCCAACCGTGCCCTCCCCCTTTGAGATATTTTCATAAGTGCCTCTATACCAATTTTTTTTTACATGTTGCTGTAAAATTAGCATTGCACACTTACGAAAATACATTGCAGGAGGAGGGCACAATTAGTTGGCAAACAAATGTAGAAAGCTTGCGTTGTGTAAAAATATGGTAGGTTGTGAGTTGTCTTGTCCTTGATGGACATACTTTTATACTTTTGACTTTCAAATAATTTATCTTTTGTACATTATATAGTAACACCTCTAAGCTTCCTTGTCATACTACCAGATTCAGACTTGCACATCAGATAGCAAACCTTTTGAGCCATTGCTTGGTGTAGTGCTGATTCCAAGCTGAATACTGGAAGTGTCATCAGCTCTGCACAGCAGTATTTATGCAACTATTTGAATATTTTTATGTATTCTTCATTTATGAAAAGAAGACAATGGAAAAATTAAAGTGCAGAGAATAGTGAAAGAAGCATTAGATCTCAAAATCAGTGAAGTTGAGAATAAGGTGGAAATTATTAGGCATGCCAAAAACTGCATTGAGCACTCATTGGACATAAGCAGGTCAACTGTTTTGTCATCTGTGTAGGAAGAACAATATTAAATTTTTTGTGTGAAATGTGAGAAATATTCTGTTGAAATTTCACCTAAAAGGGGACGTGTATTTAGAGGTTTTTTATATTTTTTACTTTTTGGAAACAAAACTGTATTTGACTTTTGCACTTCTAATTTTTTGGAATGCTTTTTTAGGAATCGATTTTGTAAGAGTTTAGACTACTACCTAAATTTTACACTTTAATACCTAAAATGGATTTTAGATAATACTGATGAAATAGCTCATTCATGTGAGTGTCGTGGTCTTAGTTTGGTGATATTATTCCTTTTTCCTTATACTGCATTTACGCTTATTTGTTGTCTATATTGAAGGGCAGGTTTGCTTTTTCCCCACATTTATATATCAGTGCATTGATAGCTTCTTGTCTATTTTAAGAATTTGGTGACAGTTGTTGGCTCTATTGCTGATGAATGTAGAGGTACTTCCATGGGCTAGTACTTACTTGACTTTTATTATAGTTGTTTTTAGTGTTAGACCGTTGTATATGCTGTTATTGTGATCTCTCTCTCTCTCTCTCTCTCTCTCTCTCTCTCTCTCTCTCTCTCGATGACTTGATGTTAACTGGTTTTTGTCAAGTTGGTACTAAATATAATTTAAAATAGCCCTTTTTTAGGTACTGTTTTCTTAAAGTCTGTTAGGTGTTGGAAATAAAAAAGTAATTTTATGTAAAACAGTTTTTTTTAATTAAAAGTTGAATTATTTTAACATAGGTGTTAAATTTGCAAAATGGGCATGATTGAAGTATTTATTTACTTAATAGGGTTGTTGTGAGCCATCAGTGAAATAATGCATGTAGAATGCTTAGGAATGTTTAGCACTTCATAACTTCACAATAAATGTAGCTGTTTCTGTTTCATTTCTGTCCATTAGTGCACACATAGATTAATCAAAGCATTCTTTGTCATTTTTGTGTGTTACTTCAAAAAATTTTCTTTATCTTAAGCATATACAGCTTAACATAGTTTCTCTCTTATATTAGTCTTTTAAGAAAAAATATGAATATTATCAAAATAAACTATCATAGAATAATATGGAGATAATTTAGATTAATGTAACTTTTAAGAAGTTATTACTGTGGGTACATTTTTGATAGCCTAGGAGCCCTAGTGGCACAATGGGTAAGAGCTACCTTAAACAGCTGCTAACCAGAAGGTTGCCAGTTTGAATCCACCAGCTCTCCTTGGAAACCCGGTGGGGCAGTTCTATCCTGTCCTATAGGGTCGCCATGACTTGGAATCGACTCAATGGCAAAGAGTAAGTGCCTAGAACATTTGAATCCCTTCTTATTTAAAAGGCTACGTTGTTGTTATAGTCTGGTGAATATGTGTATATATATCTCTCCCCATCAAATATAGAAGAAGCTGACTGGATGTAGGATTTCTTTTTCTTTCACTCTTCTGTATCCACCCCATTGAGAATATAACTGTTATTAAATAAAGTGTAACAGTTAAATCCCAGGTCAATTTAAGTGCATTCAGATAAAAGTTATTTTGAATGAAAGACTACTTAACTTGAAGGATTTAGAAATTTATAAATTAAGAAATATATAACAAGTTAAGTTTTAGCTCTAGAACTGTATGCTGGATTTCTGAAATTATTTAAGGAGATTATTGTTGTTTTACCTACATGATTTGAGATATCATGTATATATGATTAAAATTTAACAAACCTCTATGCCAATCTTATATTTAAATTACTAGTCCATATAGTTAGTGCAAAGAAGATAGAAAATATGAAGACATTTTTTAAAATTCTATTGGCAGTTTTCTTTTTATATTTATTATTGGTTTTCACTTTTCCCTTTTTGATTTTGTGTAATTTTATTCACAATCCAAATAGATCTTATATAGATTTTTAAAATGTAGCTAAAACATTGTCATAGCTGTACTTCTTTTTTTAGCTTTCCACATTTGAAGCCTTGTCTCTGAATGGAAGTTGAGATTTCATTGTGTTAAAATGAATTTTGTCACAGCTTTCTTATGGCCTTTGTGCATTAGTTTGACAGTTTAAATATGGCTAGGTCATGTTTTGTTTCATAACACTTTGTAATAAAAAGTATAAATTAAAAGTTTGTCTCATTTGAAGAAAATGGATTTTTTTACATGTCTAAATAACTTTGGTTTTGAAGGTATTGCTATTAAGGAGTCAGCAAAAGTGGGTGACCAAGCTCAAAGGAGGGTGATGAAAGGTGTTGATGACCTAGACTTCTTTATTGGTGATGAAGCAATAGAAAAACCTACATATGCTACAAAGGTATGTTTTTATGATTTGCATAAATAACTACCAATTTTCTTAAAAAAATATTGTTCACTGATTGTGATCTCTGGAGTTTCACTCAGTTATAGACTTAATACCCTCAACCTCTTCACAACAGAAATGTTTTTCTGGTGGCACCTTCCCAACCTTGCTTTAACTCTGCTTTGTCTTTTTACCCCTAAGAGGAAAAGTTTAGCCTGTTTAAGTGACCAATATTTACATTTCCACACTCATTGTATCTCAGAGCCCATTGTAGGATTAACTTCCTCTTACCTCCACATTGTCACACCTAGACCATTTCTTTTCCATTATAATTCAAGCCCACACCATTTCTCTCCATTATGAAGCTTATGTCACCTGAAAGTGCCCTTCTTTTTTTCCTTCTTTCCCTTTCTTTTTCCCTTCTCCTCTCTCCCCCCTTCCCTTTTTATTGAGGCATAACTTATATACAGTAAAGCTTGCAAGTCTTAAGTGTACTATAATCATAAAAGTTCAAGATAAAGAGCAAATCATATAACCCTGAAGCTTTCCTTGTGTCTACTTCCACAGTCACCACCTCCTCACCAAAAGGTAAACACTCTGACCTTTATCATCTTATTTTTAGAGCTTGACTTTGCCTAATTTGTAAATTTTCTTCTTTGTACCTCTTTTTTTTCCCCTTCCCTTCTCTCTCATTTTTTTTTTATTTAACAGCTACCATGTGTAACAAACCTTAAGTGCTGAGAATACAGTGGTAAATAAGAAAGATAGCTTCTTTGACTCCAAGACTATTATAATGTGATAGAAAGGAAGACATTGAAGAAATAATTACAAGTGTGATGGGGGTTAGAAAAAGGATCCTCTGGGAATATATAAAGGAGTAGCTAACCTGGTTTGGAGATTCAGGAAAGTCCTTGAGTGAAATGTATAAGCAAGGTTATTTTAGGCAGAGAAACAGTATATAGGAAGACTTTAAAGTCCAAGAGAGCCTAGAACTGCAACACCAGTAGGCCTGGAGCATAGAGAATGCGGAGAAAAAGTGAGGAGGCTGGATAGGCCCGGACAAGATCATGGAAAGTGTTGTTAGGCTCTGTTAAAGAATTTGAACTGTATTATATAGCTGACATTAATGGATTTGATGAATAATTTTAGTAATTAAAAGCACAAATACTGGAATCTGACTGCTTGGGCTTGAGTTGTGGTTTTGCTGCTTTCTAGCTTTGTGATATCATCCAAATAACTTAACCTCTCTGGGGTTCAGTTTCTTCATTTGTAAAATGTAGACACTACTTTAAAATTGTTGTGAGGCTTACTGAGATAATACATATAAAGAAATTTTTACAGTGCTTTGAACATAATGAATGCTCAGTATATATTGTTTGTTTCATTACTTAAAATGATTACTCAGGTTGTAGTGACAGTGAAAAGAAATTATTCGGGGGAGGCAGCCATGATTCTAGGAAGACAAGATAATTGATTAATGCAATAGCTAATGCAAGGAATGTTAATGATTTGTTCTACAGTGGTAACAGTAGAGATAGAAGCAGAAGTGTGTGTGTGTGTATGTGTGTGTGTATACATGCACAACACATTTAATGTTTATTATGGGAAATTTTATATGCAGAAGTAGAGAAAAGAATAAAATGAGCCCTCATGCCTATCACACAGCTTCAGCAATTATCAACCTATGGCCAGTCGTGTTTTATCACTACTCCCCTGTTCCCTACTGGATTATTTTAAAGTAAATCCTATATGTAATTTCATCTGCAAATACTTATCTTTTAAATATAAGAACTTCTTGAAAGGTAAATATCACTCTTAAAAGAAACATATAGTTTATTAGTATCATCTAATATCTAGCCAGTGCTCAACTTTCCCTGATTATTTCCTGTATTGGCTTACCCTGTTTGAATCAAGATCCAAACCAGGCCACTCATTAGATTTCGTTGATAGTCCTCTTAAATCCTTTAATATTCTCCTGCTTGTATTTTTTTGTTTTTTCCTTGTCATTTATTTGTTGAAGAAACCTGGTTACTTATCTTGTAAAATTTACCGTATTTTGGATTCTAATGATTGCATCCTTACAGCGTCATTTAATATGGTCCTCTATTTCCTTTATTATTGTAAAATGGTAGTTAAATCTAGAGGTTTGATTAGATGTATGTAAGATTTATTTTTTTAACAAGAATAAAGAAGTAGATGTTTAATGAGAAATGGAATGATTAATGAGATATTGGTGATAAACTAGAAGTAGTAATGGAGGGTAGTTCCCATCTCCTTGATAGTTTTCTTACTGAGATTGAGAACATTAAAGGACAAACACTTTTGCTTGGGGTGGTATAGGGAAGAGAGGATAAGTTTAGTTTTGAACATGTTACATTTGAAGTAGCTGAGACCTCTGAGATACTGTTAAACAGTCTACTATATGGATCTTGGCACTGAGAAGCAAGAACAGAGCTGGAGATTTGGAAGATAAGTTACCTCTGGAGGGCATGAAATTACGTAGGGAGATGTATACGCGTGAGACAAGGCCTCAGACAAATCCTAAGCAATACACCATTGAAGTTTGGTAGAGGACATAAAGCCTGCAGAGACCAAGAAGCCATGGTTGGAGACAGGTATAAACAGAGAGGAATAATAAACTATGGAATGCTGCTAAAATATCAAGTAAGCTAGAGCCCATAGATTATTTGCTGTCTTTAGCTACGAGGGGGTTATTTAAAACCTTAATGAGAGCTACCACCACTGACTTCCCTGACCAGGATCACAACAGAGGGTTCTGGACAGAGCTGGTGAAGGATGTAGAACAGAATTTTAACACACAAAAAAAGACCAGACTTACTAGCCTGAAAGAGACTGGAGAAACCCTGAGAGTATGGCCTCCAGACACCCCTTTAGCTCAGTGGTGAAGTCACTTCTGAGGTTTACCGTTCAGCC